GCCCACACCCTGTGGATTCTGGGCTGGGCACGGAAACTCCCAGTCAACAGCTGGAGCCCTGGTTCCGCAGCGAGCGGTGGGCAAATTCCCCCAAGAGGGACCTGGCTCGTGCCCACAGCCCAGTGCCTGGGGGCGTAGCCCCAGGTTCTGCATCTCTCCCAGGCTGCAGCGACACAGCAGAGGGGAGGTTTAAAACTCTCGGTTTCCTTTGGAGGAATCTCTCCCAGCAGCTGAATTTCTCGGCCCCTCGGTAGGGTTCAGAGTTAACGCCCATGTGCACAGCCCGTGTGCACGGCTGCGGATTCCCATGGGCTGGCATGTGACTCTGGCCCTGATGATATAACACAGGGAGGGGCGGGATGTGATCTATTCTCCCCCCGCCCTCCAGTGAATGCTCCACTTCTCATTACAGGCGTCATCTGGGCCCGCCTCCCATTGGCTGCTGCACGTAAGGGTCTAATAGGAGGGACAAACAGATACACAGACAAACACACTCTGAAATAGGTAGAACTGTCCCTTTCTCCACCTCTGCCCCCTGCTGGCCCAGTGGGGTAATACCGGTGCCTGTCCCCTTGCTGCCCCCTTGTGGTCATTCGGTATAACTGTCCCTCTGACCAGACCCCTCCCTTTCCACGTTACGAGAAACAATCCCATTCCAGGCACCTCCCATTGTTCTAGCACAACCGCACCGTGACCTTGCTTTATGTGATGAGCAGAGGAAGCGGTGCTGATGGGACGTTCTGAGCCAGGCTCTGTCCCCAGCCGTGGGGTCTGGTGCTGAGTCTCTCTCTCTCTTTGCCCCACTCCAGAGTTCTACCCCAAGCCCACCATTTCCCTCAGCCCCAGTGGGGAGCTGGCGCCAGGGTCGGACGTCTCTTTCTACTGCCACGGCTCGCGGTCGCGCGTGCGCTTCCGGCTGTACCGGGCGGGGGTGGCACTGAGGCACACGGAGCCAGCCAGCTCTACGGCCGAATTCCGCATCGCCAACATCCGGCGGGAGGACGGGGGCAGCTACACCTGCCTCTACGAGAGCCTGACGGAGCCGCCCAGCGTGTCCCCCCACAGCGACCCCATAGAGCTGGTGGTAGCAGGTGAGGGGTTGTCTGCGATAGCCGAGTACCGGAACCCAACCCTCCCCCCGGCTCTAACCACTAGACCTCACTCTCCTGCCAGAGCCGGGAAGAGAACCCAGGGTCCTGGCTCCCTGCTTTAATCATGAAGTCTGAACTCAGCTTCGGAGTCATGGGTCGGGCTGGGCTCCACCTCCTTCCCGATGAGATATGCTCTGGACGGCGCTTGGGCCTGCCGTGAGGGCCAGGGGCTGGACTCGACCTCTCGAGGTCCCTTCCCGCTGTAGGATTCTAGGATAGTGATGGATAAGCACATTAATTGTGTGTTTCTCCCCGCGCCGGACCCGCGGCCTGGACGTACCTCGGACGGGACCAACACGGGTGAGGCTCTGTTCTTGTCTATTCCCCCTCTACCGTCCCGCCTGCTCCGGCCCTTTAACACGGGGGCTGTTTCGAAATAACAGGCTTCTCGTTCCGACGCTGTACCCTGCATTTCCCGCGGCGTGAGGGAAGTCGCAGGGAGAGCGCGCTTCCTTCCCCTCCCTGCCGCGCAGACAATGCCCGAAGCCGCGTCCCGCTCCTTCGATTTCAGCCCCGCACGCGACGTGGCTTAACTCCACTGTCGCTGGCTGTGGAGATGTCCCCTGGGGGGACCTGGATTCTCCTCCATGGTGAGGACATCACCTCCCAGCCCCACTGCGCTAACCACTAGGCCACCCACCCCTCCCACAGCTGGGGAGGGAACCCAGGAGTCCTGGCTCCCAGCTTCCCCTTCCCACTCTAACCACTGGACCTCACTCCTCTTCCAGAGTCAGAAAGAGAACCCAGTGGTCCTGGTCTCCCACCGTCTCTCTCTGCATTTGCCTGCTAGATTCCAGAGCCCTCTGGTACCAGAAATCTCCCTAGGTGGGAACCCATGGACCAGGATCGATTCTCCCGACCTTTCTCTTTGTGGCACTAAATTCTCCCTTCTCCATGCAGGTTTTGCCTCTGACATTCGCACCCATCAGCAAGTGAGTAACTCCAGCGTGGGCGTAGACCTGAGTCCTTTTATTTCTGATACCTGAGTGTTTATGAAATGTATTGGCGCTACATTTGATTTCAAAATATTATCGTGGCGTGTCATTTTCAACGTCCGCGTGCGCTTGTTTGCCGTGAGACGTATTTATCACTGTTGTGAGAGGACATTATTCGGTCTGGCTCAAAGGTTTAGGAAAGCTGGGTGACAGTTTTATTTCGAAAGCATTTATTTCATTTCCAAATCTGTTCCAATACATTTTCATGTGGGTGAACTGTATTTTATTTTAAGCATATGCCACATCTTTAATACAGATCTTTTATTATGGAAAAGCGCGTCTACATTGGCCACAGATGCTTTTCTGGAAAAAGGGCTTTTCTGGAAAAGCATCCTGCCAATGTAGACGCTCTTTTTCCGGAAATACTTATAACGAAAACTATTCTGTTTTAAGCATTTCCAGAAATTCATGCCAGTGTAGACACAGCCTTAGTGTTTATTATATCTACTGGTGAGTCGTTTGATTTCAAAATCTCATTGTGGTGTGTCGTTTTCAACTTCAGCGTGCGCTTCTTCGCAGTGAGACGTATTTGTCCTTGTTGCGAGGGGACATTGTTCGTTCTGGCTCAAAGGTTTAGTAAAGCTTGGCGAAAATTGTATTGCAAAAGCATTTCTTTCATTTCCAAATTTGTCCCAATTGTTTTAATGTAGGCGAACTGTATTTTCTTTTAAGCATACACACAATCTTGAATATAGATCTTTTATTATTTCTTTCATGGCAAAATGGATTACCATCAACTATCCACTTTATTGTTTTATGTTTTTTTTCAGATTTTATTCCCAAGTACATTTAACAGCATGGACAGGGGATTTTCCAATTGTATTTATTTCTGTTCATTTCAGGATTGAATGACAATGTGATTTGAATAGGGGAACAAAATATTGTATTGAACACATGGAAAGCTTCTTCTATATATTTTAGAAATCTGCATCTGTCTGTCCATCTGTGAGCACATTTGTTCAAGAACTCCTCCTAACTGCTTCAGAGGGGGAGCCAAGTGAGTCTGTAACTGGAAAAACTTAAAAAACAACAGTCTGGCAGCATCGTAGAGACTAACAAAACATGTAGAGGGGATCATGAGCTTTTGTGGGCACAGCCCACTTCTTCAGATGACCGGAGTTAGACAAAAAAAAAGGGAAAGAAATAGTCAATTCTCTCCCCCCCTCCCTAGCCCCCATTTATTTCGAAACTGGACCTTTAATAACGCCATTCATCTGAAGAAGTGCATTGCGCCCCCAAAAGCTCATGATGCAATCCACGGCTATGTCTAGATTGCATGGGCTGCAAATCAAGCACGTCGAAATTGCTAATGAAGCCGGGATTTAAATATCCCGTGCCTCATTAGCATAAACATGGCCACCGCTTTTTTTCGAAACGGAGATTTTTCGAAAAAAACTGGCAGTCTAGACGCAGATCTGTCGAAAATAAAGCCTTTTTCGACAGATCCTGTAAACCTAATTTTTTGAGGAACACAGGATCTGTCGAAAAAGGCTTTATTTTCGACAGATCTGCATCTAGACAGCCTTTTTTTTTTTCAAAAAAAACTCCAATTCAAAAAAAAGCAGTGGGCATATTTATGCTAATGAGGCACGGGATATTTAAATCCCGACTTCATTAGCAATTTTGATGTGCCTAATCTATATCTTTCTGTCAACAGAGAGGTGTAGTCTAGACATACCCTAAGGTGCTGCAAAACTATTTGGTTTTTTTTCAGGTTTATCCTCCTAAGCGGTAAAAGCCAGGACCACTAAATTGTACGTTATCAGAACTTATAGCAAGTTCGGAGTTTGACTGTGCTGCACAATGGGATGTGCCTGGAATGGGATTGTTCCTCATAAAATGGACACGGGAGGGTCTGATAGGAGGGACAAACAGATACGCAGAGAAACACACACTGAAATAGATGTGATAATTGGGGAAGTTATCTTTGTAATGGGTAAGATAATTAACAAGACACGAATTATCTTACCCATTACAAAGATAGCTTCCCCAATTATCACCTCTAATATCATTAGCTTACAGACATTTACCTTCCCCCCCCAACTCCCCTCTGTTCTGAAATTTGATTTGTCCTTTTTATATGTGTTCACTTTTTTTTGATTGTATCCCTTTGGTATATATATTGTTGTGACTATTTTCTTCCACTATTTGATCTGAGGAAGTGGGTCTGGCCCACGAAAGCTCATCACCTAATAAACCATCTTGTTAGTCTTTGAAGTGCTACATAGTCCTGTTTTTTGTTTCAGCTACACCAGACTAACACGGCTACATCTCTATTACTGAAACAGATAGGAGAGAGCTGTCCCTTTCTCCTCCCCTGCCCCCTGCTGGCCCAGTGGGGTTATACCTGTTCCTGCCCCCTTGCTGCCCCCTTGTGGTCATTCGGTATAACTGTCCCTCTGCCCAGACCCCACCCTTTCCACGTTATGAGAAACAATCCCATTCCAGGCACCTCCCATTGTTCTAGCACCACCGAAGCGTGACCTTGCTTTATGTGATGAGCAGAGGAAGCTGCCTGTCCAATTTGGTGGTCCTCACTCTTACCGTTTAGGCGGCCATGTTTAGTCTAGAGATGAGGACTGAGGGGGACCAGATACATTTTCAGACCTGGGACAGAGGATGGGGATGGGTTGTTCTCCCTGTCCCCCAAGGTTGTGGAGTCCCTTGCTTTGGGGATTTTTGAGGCCTGGTTGGACAAAGGCCGGTCAGGGATGGTCCAGGCTGATTTAGTCCGGGCTCAGCGCGGGGCGGGATGAGTTGGCTGCCTCCCACCCTGCGTTTCACCCCGACGATTTCAGCGCCGATGTGCCAGGAGAAGGCCCCGGGATCCCCTAGCCGTGGGTCTGGTGCTGAATCTCTCTCTCTCTTTGCCCCACTCCAGAGTTCTACCCCAAGCCCACCATCTCCCTCAGCCCCAGCGGGGAGCTGGCGCCAGGGTCGGACGTCTCTTTCTACTGCCACGGCTCGCGGTCGCGCGTGCGCTTCCGGCTGTACCGGGCGGGGGTGGCGCTGAGGCACACGGAGCCAGCCAGCTCACGCCCGGCTGGAGGACAGGGGAAGCTACACCTGCCTCTACGAGAGCCTGACGGAGCCGCCCAGCGTGTCCCCCCACAGCGACCCCATAGAGCTGGTGGTAGCAGGTGAGGGGTCGTCTGCTCTACCCTAGTACCGGAACCCAGGAGCCCTGGATTCCGCCCCCAGCTCTGACCACTAGCCCTCATTCCCCTCCCAGAGCTAGGGAGAGAACCCAGGGGTCCCAGCTCCCAGGCCCTATTGCTTTGGTCATTGGATATGAATTCTTGACACGGCCCCAGTCTCCCGAGGGAAGACGTTCATTGTTTCGGGTTTGTGAAGCCCCTGGCATGTTGGTTGGGCTGAGCTCCACCTCCGGCCAGGTGAGATATGACTGTGATTAGTAACAACGTTAATTGTCTGTTTCTCCCCACGCCGGACCCGTGGCCTGGACTTGCCCCTGACCGGATCAACGCGGGTGAGGCTCTGCCCTTGTTTTTTTCCTCTCTACCGTCCTGCCTGCTCCGGCCCCTTACCACTGTATGCTTCACCCAGAGGACATCACCTCCCAGCCCCACTGCGCTAACCACTAGGCCACCCACCCCTCCCACAGCTGGGGAGGGAACCCAGGAGTCCTGGCTCCCAGCTTCCCCTTCCCACTCTAACCACTGGACCTCACTCCTCTTCCAGAGTCAGAAAGAGAACCCAGTGGTCCTGGTCTCCCACCGTCTCTCTCTGCATTTGCCTGCTAGATTCCAGAGCCCTCTGGTACCAGAAATCTCCCTAGGTGGGAACCCATGGACCAGGATCGATTCTCCCGACCTTTCTCTTTGTGGCACTAAATGCTCCCTTCTCCATGCAGGTTTTGCCTCTGACATTCGCACCCATCAGCAAGTGAGTAACTCCAGCGTGGGCGTAGACCTGGGTCCCTTTATTTCCGATACCTGAGTGTTTATGAAATGTATTGGCGCTACATTTGATTTCAAAATATTATCGTGGCGTGTCATTTTCAACGTCCGCGTGCGCTTGTTTGCCGTGAGACGTATTTATCACTGTTGTGAGAGGACATTATTCGGTCTGGCTCAAAGGTTTAGGAAAGCTGGGTGACAGTTTTATTTCGAAAGCATTTATTTCATTTCCAAATCTGTTCCAATACATTTTCATGTGGGTGAACTGTATTTTATTTTAAGCATATGCCACATCTTTAATACAGATCTTTTATTATTTCTTTCATTGCCAAATGTGTTACACGTCAACATACATTTTCTTTATTATTTTATGTTTTTTTCTAATTTTATTCCAAAGTACATTTGAGAGAATGGATGGGGAAAGGGGGTTCAAATTGTATTTACTTCTTTGCATTTCTGCATTCAATTACAATGTTATTTTAATAGGGGAACAAAATATTTTATTTAAAACATATCGAAATCTTTGGCTTTGTATTCTATAAATATACACCTGTCTGTGCATCGGAGAGTCCATTTGCCTAAGAACTCCTCCTAAGCAGTAAGAACCAGAACCAGGGCCGGATTAGGGGGGGGCTAGCTGGGCAGCTTGCCGGGGCGCCAACCTATGGGGGGTGCCTGATGGCAGCTGTAAGGTGCACAGCGCACTGGGGGGGGGGAGCCACATGTGCGCCCAGGGGCGGAGCCATGCATGCATGGCCAGCTGCCCGGGGCGCAGGAATAGCTCGAGCCGGCCCTGGCCAGGCCACCACATTGTACGTAGCTTCCCCTTATCAGAACTTAAAGCAAGGTCAGGGTTTGGCTCTGCCACACAATGGGATGTGCCCGGAATGGGATCGTTCCTCATAAAATGGACAGGGAAGGGTCTAATAGGAGGGACAAACAGATACACAGACAAACACACTCTGAAATAGGTAGAACTGTCCCTTTCTCCACCTCTGCCCCCTGCTGGCCCAGTGCGGTAATACCGGTGCCTGTCCCCTTGCTGCCCCCTTGTGGTCATTCGGTATAACTGTCCCTCTGACCAGACCCCTCCCTTTCCACGTTACGAGAAACAATCCCATTCCAGGCACCTCCCATTGTTCTAGCACAACCGCACCGTGACCTTGCTTTATGTGATGAGCAGAGGAAGCGGTGCTGATGGGACGTTCTGAGCCAGGCTCTGTCCCCAGCCGTGGGGTCTGGTGCTGAGTCTCTCTCTCTCTTTGCCCCACTCCAGAGTTCTACCCCAAGCCCACCATTTCCCTCAGCCCCAGTGGGGAGCTGGCGCCAGGGTCGGACGTCTCTTTCTACTGCCACGGCTCGCGGTCGCGCGTGCGCTTCCGGCTGTACCGGGCGGGGGTGGCACTGAGGCACACGGAGCCAGCCAGCTCTACGGCCGAATTCCGCATCGCCAACATCCGGCGGGAGGACGGGGGCAGCTACACCTGCCTCTACGAGAGCCTGACGGAGCCGCCCAGCGTGTCCCACCCCAGCGACCCCATAGAGCTGGTGGTAGCAGGTGAGGGGCCCAGCTTGGTGTCCCTCCTCCCAGCCCCACGCTGGGACACACCCTCAGGGGGGCACGGTGCTGATGGGACGTTCTGAGCCAGGCTCTGTCCCCGGGGCCCAGAAAAGGGGACACCCAGCTGGGGACGGAGTCTCTGGGGGGGTTCCCAGCTGCTGGTGATGCCGAGTGGAAGGTAGCTCTGCAGATTGGGAGGGGGGGCTGCCCTCACCTTGGGGGTGACCAGGGGAGCCCAGAAGGCACCGTCCCCAGCCACTATACATCCTGCTCCCCCAGGTGTGACGATGCTGAGTCAGGGTGTGGGGTGGTGTCGCTAAGTCGCTGTGTCTCCCCCTTACTCCCCTCGCCCCCCAACAGGTGCTGATTCTGGTGGTCCCTGGAGACCCTACCCCACCCGGCCTAGGACGCAGCCGGCTCCCACCCGCCCAGGCAGCGCAGGGGGAGCTGGCGCCAGGGTCGGACGTCTCTTTCTACTGCCACGGCTCGCGGTCGCGCGTGCGCTTCCGGCTGTACCGGGCGGGGGTGGCACTGAGGCACACGGAGCCAGCCAGCTCTACGGCCGAATTCCGCATCGCCAACATCCGGCGGGAGGACGGGGGCAGCTACACCTGCCTCTACGAGAGCCTGACGGAGCCGCCCAGCGTGTCCCACCCCAGCGACCCCATAGAGCTGGTGGTAGCAGGTGAGGGGCCCAGCTTGGTGTCCCTCCTCCCAGCCCCACGCTGGGACACACCCTCAGGGGGGCACGGTGCTGATGGGACGTTCTGAGCCAGGCTCTGTCCCCGGGGCCCAGGAGAGGGGACACCCGGGGTACGGTGTGTGGGGGGGGGTTCCCAGCTGCTGGTGATGCCGAGTGGAAGGTAGCTCTGCAGATTGGGAGGGGGGGCTGCCCTCACCTTGGGGGTGACCAGGGGAGCCCAGAAGGCACCGTCCCCAGCCACTATACATCCTGCTCCCCCAGGTGTGACGATGCTGAGTCAGGGTGTGGGGTGGTGTCGCTAAGTCGCTGTGTCTCCCCCTTACTCCCCTCGCCCCCAACAGGTGCTGATTCTGGTGGTCCCTGGAGACCCTACCCCACCCGGCCTAGGACGCAGCCGGCTCCCACCCGCCCAGGCAGCGCAGGGACAGGTACACGGGTCTCAAGGCCGGCCGATTAAGTTGGTTCTCTATTGATCCAGGAGGCAGGAGAGACTCTATTGGGGGGCTGTGGGGACTGGCCCATCTTTCCCATAGGGAGTTAGGGAGACACGGCCCCCCCATGTGGGGCATTTACCTCCTGCCCCTCTCCTCTCTCTAGGGTCCCCCCCAAAGCAGAATTACTCCCAGGCTAACGTCGTCCGTCTGGGCCTGGCCGCTGGGGTGTTGCTGGCCCTGGTGGCCATCTTGGCCGAAAGCGCAAAGATGAAACTCGATAAAGATGAGCGTAAAGTGCTGCCCGTAGGAAGGAAAAAGCGAAGGCACGAGGCTGGTGCGGTCCAAGACTGCAGGAAAGTGTCTGAGTTTTAGAGCAGATCACAAATTTAATACAAGCCTCCAGTGCGATTCGGGGGTGGAAAAGGCAAATCTTTTTCTGGGCTGTATTAACAGAAACGTCGTAGGTAAGACCCAGGAAGCTTTTCCATAGATGTAGGTAACTCACCTCCCCTAGCAGTGGTTGCTAACTCGAGGGAAGAATTCTTCTGTCCAGCAAGGTGCATTCACACCAGGGGTTAAGGTGGTTTCCCTGCATCCTGCTGGGTGAATTTTTCACACGGCACTAGCAAGTTGCTTTGAATATTAAAGGCAGATCTGGCGAATCCGGAGCAGAGCAATGAAGATGGCACCAGGGCTAGAGAGGGAGACGTGAGGAAAAGTTGAAAGGCCTGACCGGGTTTAGTCTAAAGACAAGGACCGAGGGGGGACCGGATACGTTTTCCGACCTGGGACAGAGGATGGGGATGGGTTGTTCTCCCTGTCCCCCGAGGGCCGGAGAAGAAGACATTCGTGTGGATGACGGCTAGAGACGTAGCAGGGAAAACTTTCCTAATCTGGGTTTGGTTAAGCCCTGGAATAGCTGCATTGGGAGGTTGTGGAATCCCTGCCTTTGGGGATTTTTGAGGCCTGGTTGGACAAACACCCGTCGGAGGTGGTCCAGGTTGGCTCGGTCCCAGCTCAGCGCCGGGGCGGGACGAGGTGGCTGCTTCCCACCCTACGTTTCACCCCGATGCTTTCAGCACCGATGTGTCAGGACAAGGCCACGGGATCCCCTAGCCGTGGGGTCTGGTGCTGAGTCTCTCTCTCTCTTTGCCCCACTCCAGAGTTCTACCCCAAGCCCACCATCTCCCTCAGCCCCAGTGGCGAGCTGGCGCCAGGGTCAGACGTCTCTTTCTACTGCCACGGCTCGCGGTCGCGCGTGCGCTTCCGGCTGTACCGGGCGGGGGTGGCGCTGAGGCACACGGAGCCGGCCGGCTCCACGGCGCTGGAGGACAGGGGAAGCTACACCTGCCTCTACGAGAGCCTGACGGAGCCGCCCAGCGTGTCCCACCCCAGCGACCCCATAGAGCTGGTGGTAGCAGGTGAGGGGCCCAGCATGGTGTCCCCCCTCCCAGCCCCACGCTGGGACACACCCTCGGGGGGCGCGGTGCTGATGGGACGTTCTGAGCCAGGCTCTGTCCCCGGGGCCCAGGAGAGGGGACACCCAGCTGGGGACGGAGTCTCTGGGGGGTTTCCCAGCTGCTGGCGATGCTGGGTAGAAGGTAGCTCTGCAGATTGGGAGAGGGGGCTGCCCTCACCTTGGGGGTGACCAGGGGAGCCCAGAAGGCACCGTCCCCAGCCACTATACATCCTGCTCCCCCAGGTGTGACGATGCTGAGTCAGGGTGTGGGGTGGTGTCGCTAAGTCGCTGTGTCTCCCCCTTACTCCCCTCGCCCCCCAACAGGTGCTGATTCTGGTGGTCCCTGGAGACCCTACCCCACCCGGCCTAGGACGCAGCCGGCTCCCACCCGCCCAGGCAGCGCAGGGACAGGTACACGGGTCTCAAGGCCGGCCGATTAAGTTGGTTCTCTATTGATCCAGGAGGCAGGAGAGACTCTATTGGGGGGCTGTGGGGACTGGCCCATCTTTCCCAGCTGGTCCCACCCCAGGGAGGTCCAGAGCTCCCCTTTGCAGCCTGGGGGCCCCTCTCGCACCCAAACTCCCTCCCTGATCCTGCGCCCCTAACCCCTTAT